ACATCTCTTCTGATTCTGACATCTGTGCGGATAGCCCAGTTGAAGAAAATGCTAGAGAGGCAGATTGGTAAGTAATGAGTGAATGGGAGCATAGATAGTAGGGTAGATGTTTGGAGCTGTACCTTTACGCTCGCAAAACCCACCCTAATCATAGCCTCTGGCTCTTGTTCATTTCTTTATCTGCCAGGTTAGCTTGGCATGTTTCCTTGCCTTGTAGTTTGGAATTTTACAACAAGCGAACTGCTTTCATGCAGATCTCTAATAGCCATACAGCATGGAAAGAGGTCCTTGAGCCCATCAAAATCACACTGGTCCTGAAGCACCTACCTATATCCTGTTTCTCATCAATTGATCCATAGCCTTGTATGCTATGGATTTTCAACTGTTCATCTAAATATGACTTAAATGTTACAGTGGTTCCTGCTGCTACTACCCTTCCAGATAATGAGTTCCAGATACTCACCACTATTTGGTGGGAAAAAAATCTTTCCTTAAATCCCCAATAAACCTACCCTTACTTTAAATCTATTTCTTTGATAGTTGCCCCCTTTAGTAAAGGTAAAAGTTTATTCTTCCCATTCCTGTCAATTCCATCCAATCAGGTTCCCCCTTGGCCTTCTGTGCACCAAGGAAAACAACTCTAACCTATATAGTCTCTTGTCATAGCTGAAATGTTCCCAGCCCAGGCAATATTCCGGTGAATCTTCTCTGCGAACCTCTCCAGAGCAATCGCATCCTTCCTGTAGTGGCAACCAGAACTGCACACAGTACTCCAGCTGTGTGAACTAACCAGTGTCCTATATAGCTCCAACATAATTTCCCAGCTCTTCTGTTCAATCCCTTGACGAATCAAGGCTGATATCCCTTATGCCTTCTGAACTACCCTGTACTGCTGCCTTCAAGGCTCTATGGACAAGCACACCAAGATCCTACTGATCCTCAGCACTACATGGGGTCCACCATTCGAAGTATTCTCCCTTGCATTGCTTGTCCTACCAAAATGCATAATTTAATCCTGAAAAGTGTGAAATTCCATCTGCCACTGTCCATCTGACCAGTCTGTCTATATCACCCTATAGCCCAAAGCTTTCCTCTTTGCTAGCTACCACACCACTAATTTGTGTCATTCTGCAAACTTACTGATAAACCTTCTCATTTCACGTATAATCCATGCCATTGTCACTCCAAATTTGACTATTCTAACATAATGCTGACTTCTACCTGCCGTAAACCTTAGGCCATTTAAAGCTCTGCTGTTGTCTTTGCTTACTGACCTGCATTGGCTCCTGGTTGAGCAACACCTTGTTTTTAAAATTCTCTTCCTTAGTTTCAAAATCCTTCAAGCCCTTACCCTTCTCTATGTCAGTAATATCCTCCAGGCACCCTACTGTCCAAGATTTCTGCATTCCTTTAATTTAGGCTTCTTGGGCAACCTTAATTTTTACGTGCTGCTCCAGCGATGACCGTACCTTCTGGTGTCTCGCCCTAAGCCCCAGAATTTCCTCCCTAGATCACTCCAACTCTTGTAGATCTTAAGGTGCACCTTAATGTAAGAAGGGTGTCCTTTAAGATCTCCTCTTCCACTAGGCTTTTGGGTATTTGCATTTAGATATACTTAAGTGCCTCTGTCAAATTTTGTCTGATTACAGTCCAAGTAATTTGGGATATTTTACACTCATCAAGGCACAA